GTTTTTTAGTCTCTCTTTTTTTGTCTCTTTAAAATAAAAATAAAGAAAGAAAGAAAATTGTGGCAATATACTAACACATTACCATGTTCTTGTGATGAGACTCTTTTACTATATAACGTAACTTTTCACAGATAGCAGGCATTGCTTTTATAGTTGAAAAAATAAACTGGGTTACAGTGGGGACACAAAGTCAGCAAGAACTTGTAAAATGCAGTGGCATAAACTAAGAAATACATGACATTATCTACCTGACAGAAGAAATGCTAGGATTTTATAAAATTAGAACTCCATTGCCCATAGATTTATCTCTTCCTATCATTTTCCCAAGTGTGGAAATTTTGAGCACACAATCTGTGATTTAACACCTATGAATGAGAAAACAACTACAAGTAAAAAATGAGGAAAATATTTTCTTTGGAAAAAAAAGTTGGTATTTGTAAAGAAGATCATTTTTCGTGTATGGTTTTGTAATTGCTACATGGGATTAGGCCAAACAAGGCATTTCATCAACGGTGGATTTTTCATGGGCCTGGGTCATGCGAAGGAACATGATACGGCTGAGTATGATTAGAAATTAGCAATTAAGAGGGAGGATAACAAGCATAATGCTTAACACCTAAAATTCTCACTTTGTGGAAACCGTGCAAGTGGTGATCTCCTGTAGGCAACAGGCAAATGGATGATAAGCCGTGGTGAGGTAAATTAGATGTGGGAGACATTCGTGTGTTGAGAGCTTCTGAGAAAATATGTGCTGGGCTGAACATAAGAAGGAGGCTGAGAACTGCTGAAGTAGGGAACGCTGTCTCCTGGGAAACGTGTCTAGTGACTTAGGAGAGTGCGGGGCTCCCCTCCGATTTTCATGAGGTTGGCCTGCTCCCTATTTAGCAAAGAGGTCAAGGCAGCTAAATGGTGAGAGCGCTGGTCTGTGTGGCATCTTTGTCACACAGAGTCCCTGGAAGGCTGCCCCGCCGTCTGTGGGAAGATGGTTGCGATAGATGGGTCTGTTAGGAGACACGTACTGCTCCCTGCTAGTCACTTACCATCATAAACACATAAAGCCATGTGTGAATGGCACCTCCTTGGGCCTGGTGCCACTGTGCACTGCACAGTCGTATCGGACATTTGCAAGTAACAAAAAATAGAAATCACCATGGTAACGCTTGTCTGTGACATGAAAGTGAGAAACGGACTCCATTGCAGTAACCCCTAGGAAGTTCCTGTCCAGCAAGTTGGTGGTTGGAAGGCTGTGGAGATCCAACGCTGCATGTGGAGGGTCCCTTCATTGATGGCTTCCATCACTGAGAAGGCGAGCTCAGCTGTTGTGCTTTTGTACATCCCCCAGTCCATTCAAAAGACCCCACAGTACTACTGCACAGCCGAATGGAAAAGATTCTCTGTTTACAGAGAAAATACAAAGCATGTTTCTTCCCCATCGTTAAACAAACTGCGTATGCTTAACAGAACTTTTCCACTTTGGTATCCAAGTTAAGACTATCAGTGGTGGCTTTTTGCTTAAATCTAAACATTTTAGAAACATTTTGTAGGGAAAACTATTCACAGGCTCATTCAAAGAGAATCAAATAAATAGTTTGGTGAGTTTCCATCTTGGAAGTAGGATGTTTATTTAAGAAACCCTAATAAAGCCCTCTTTCAAGCCCATAAAAGTTATAGTCAGAACCAAGTGGTGGACTAAAGACTCTGGAAATAGTTATTGATGTGTGTGAGAGAGAGACAGAGAGAGAGAGAGACAGAGAGAAAGGGCCAGTGAAGGAGCAACTTGATGAGAAACTTTTACTAATGATTCTTATTTCCTCCAACTTTGAAAAACAACTACATTGGTTGTAGAATTTAAAACATTCTCACTACACAGTTGGCTCTTCCAAGCAAGAGGTATAAGCCAGGCCATGGCAAATAGGTAGGGCTGACACACTGGCAGTAGGATTTAGCGCAAAAGAGATTTTCATCGAGGGCCGGCAGAACAATAAGGGAAAGTCCAGAGCCTTGTGCCCAGGGAACTGGGCAGAAACCAGGAAAGACTCTGTGAAGAGCTGGCAAGAGAGATGTTGATGGAGAGAGAAGGTTGTGTCTCAGAAAAATGCCAGAGGTGGAGCCTTTTATGGGGTACAGAGAAATGAGCACGTAGCAGGGAGAGCCGTGAAAGAAGCCTAACTAGCTTGGACATCAACCCACCTCTTTATTTACTCTCCAAAGCCTCCATAGACAAGAAATCAGAACATAGTGAGTGAAACATGATATAAGAAAAAATTCAGAAAAAAGCATGCAGTTGGGTACAAAAGACAGCCGAAAGTTCTGTGCAGAAAAACCAGGGCCATGCGCAAATTGTACTGCGATCCAAGGGACAATGCTGGACAAGAACCCCGAAGTAGATATATAAGTGCAATAGTTATGAAGTAGCCACAATGGAGATCAAAAGCTCTAAATGATTTAGAGGAAGAAAGTAGCTTGGCCAAATGCCACTGATGGTAGAAAGCAACACTTGCTACCTTATGCTTGTGATTATTCTGTGTCCATATCTAATATATAAGCATGCCCAGAGCTACGTCTTTTTTTTTTTTAATTTTTTTCTGGTACCGGGAATTGAACTCAGGACCTTGCACTTGCCAGGCAGGCGCTGTGCCGCTGAGCTAAATCCCCAGCCCCTATGTCTTTTGATTTAGCAATGATATTGGCCCTCTGAATGTTTAGTTAGATCCCCCATCCCCCAGTTGAATGGCAGTTACTGTTATGGTTACTGTTGGGTGGCTTGGTTTACCCACAGCTTGTACGGTCAGAGAGGTGGAAGCAACCTATTGAGTAGGGCACTTATTCCAGCTCCCAATCATCTTGTCAGTTAGGCAGTGTCACTCTTCAGTTACAGCCAATCAGATACACAGCTTTCCCTTTTGAGCATGAGAGAGAGAATGGTGGAAAGTAAACACAAAGAGACCAGAAACCTCCTTATGTATCTGCCTTGACCGGTTTTTAAAGATGAAGTCAGTGGCTCTCAACTGTGGCCACACAAAAGAATTTTCTGGAGATTTATGCAGTCTGATACCCAGACAGTGCCCCAGGTCAATAAAGTCAGAAAGATGTTCTCAAGGTGGAAACCCGAGAATTGAATTGAGACAATGCAAGTGCCTGGCATACATTTGGTGCAAAATGACCATTGTCCTCTTTGAATTGCTTCCTGCTGCCCCTCCCGCTGTCCTGAACATGTGCGCACAGTTCCTGTTGTGTGTCCAGCTTGGTCATCACATGGTGACTTTGCCTGAGAGTTGGAGAATTCGTTGACTTAATGCTGAAAAAGACAGACCTCTCTCCTCACTCGTTTCTTTCATGCCTTTGTCTTCCAGTGCTACTTAACGACTTTCACCTGTGCAGGTGGAAGATTCGGCTCCCCAGAATCGCTGGATTTGGAAAGAATTCTGACTTCTCTGTCCTCAGGGGTTTAATTTAGCCAAGCTTTTTTTTTAGCACTTCAGAAGGATCAGGGTGGAAATGAAGTTTAAGAAATAAAGGAGCTTCCTAAAAATAGAATACAGCTCATCCATTTCAATTAAAAAAAGCCCTTCATATTTTCCGGGCATTTTCAAACTCCTAAGCATTTTTAATCAGCTCACTTCTGAGTCTTATTAAAAAATAAATAAATTATACTTGTTTTCATTAAGGGAAGGGATCTTTTTCCATTTCTACGGATATTGTTGAAGGAGACAAAAAGGAGTCCAAAATTTAGCAAAGGAGCACGTTATTAGTGACATATTGGTCGCAGATGTGCTGGGAGAGCTACACTTTTTTCCCTCCAATTAGTATTTTAAGTGCCCACAAATTACCTATGAAAGGCCAGATAACTTCCTTATGAAACAGAAGGAGAAAAACTTTTATTTTGAAGGTATTCTAAATACGTTTTTGTAAGTAGGGGCAAAAGTGACACCTGTCCGTTTGCTGTTCTTTCAAAGTAGTGCTACATAGATTATGCCAGCATTATTTCCAATTCCAAATGTTTTAAGCAAGTGAAAATACAGGCAGATACTCTTTGGCAATACCTGTGAGTGTTAACTTTCCTTTCTATAACAATTCTTAAGAAAATCAAGAAAGTGAAATCTCAGACGCAGAAGGGAAACTCTAAGAAACTTCATGGCTTGAATCTGGAGGCCTTTGAGGCAGTTTGCGGATGTTGGCCAAACTTTTGTTCAGTTGCAGAAAGTCCTCAAAGTCCTACCAGGATAACAGCCATCAGCCAACTCTGGAAATCAGGTTAGGATTCACCTGGGAGGAAAAGCTGCTGGCACCAGGATGCCCATCAAGTTCTGGGTAGTAGGTGAATGTGATTCCAGATCCCAGGCTGCGGCTGTAAAGATGTGAAGGAAGGAAATAAAATGTTGTAAAGGAACAAGGATGAAGAAACAGATTTGACAGACATAAAAGTAACGACAAGCTAAATCTTTATTGTAATACTTGAGAATATTTTATTCACCTTGATGAGAAAACAATATAGGAGAATAACTCGTAGGGAATGACAGATGACTCGATTTTCAGCATGTCTGCGTTGATGAGGTAACCAGTTTGAAATGTCATGTGAATTGAAAGTGACACAACGTCGAACAAAAGGATTAGAGTGTTACCTGTCTAAGTAAACTGAATTATGACCCCAAAAAAGATTTGGTCTGGCTTCCTGATACCTAGGAAGAAAGTTTTGCATTTGCATTTTTAACTCAGTAAGAATATGCATCTGAAGATGATTGAGTGACCTGATTACAATGACAGGCAGCTTTAAATCAGAAACTTGTAGTATATTGTTTAGCCCCCAAGTTATTTGATATAGTGTCAAGGGAATGTCAGTGTGTGATGCTACTCCAGTGCTGTCTAGTATCTTGTGTGTTACTCAGTTTTGTAAGTTCAAGACATCCTACTATACAGTTTTTTAAAATAAGCCTGTAGGGAAGACTTCAAATTCTTTCCCTTCTCAACAGGACCTGTTTTCTTGCTTCCCATTTCCCTAGGAAAGTGACAATTCTGGAGGACCCTGATCAGAACATTCACCTGAAAAACCTATCTCTTCATCAGGCGACGACAGAAGAAGAAGCTCTGAATTTGCTTTTCTTAGGAGACACCAACAGAATGATCGCAGAGGTGATAAAACTCTCTGCACACTCCTTTTCTGATATTATCAGATAGAATAGTAGAGGCAAGAACGGCCTTAAAAAGGATCTCATCTGAATCTCATGCTGCACATAAAGAAGGCAACATCCAGAGAAGTAAGGAGACTCTCCTCAGGTCCCCTCGCTAGTTAATGGGCAGGGACTGGAATCTAGACTTCTGGATTCTCACCTCTGCTGTTCCCACTTTACTCTGTTGTGTGCCTTTCAGGTTTAATTTTTATATTTTTAAATTTTTTTTTTGCAAATTGGTTTGCAGCTAACCAGTGACAACCTATAAAACATCTTAATTATAGCGAGTTTCGTGAATTTTGTGGAATTTAAAAATATATAGTTTTATTCTTCCTAACCTGGTATTATCCATATAGTTTCATTTAGTTAGTGAATTGATATTCGTAAAGCATTTCAAAACAGTGCGTTAAACACAGGAAGTAAAAAAAAAAAAAAAAAAAACACCGGAAGTGCTCTGTGGGTTGGCAGCTGTTATCGCCACATCTGGGACACCACCGTGGTGTGTAGTAAAAGTATGTCTCCATGCAATATTGGGGGCACATTCATTTCAAAAAGCATTCACTGTTTGACATTCAGTTTAGCTGAGTCCATTTATTTCTTCTGGGAACCTTAGGCAGGAGCGGGGATTAACCCAGAAGGGTCAGGAGCCTGAGCCTTAAGCAGTTACCGATCAGAGATGGAGGCCTTTGTCCGGCTACACTGGGGTGAAAGGAAGAGGAGAAGGTGGAGGTGGTGGTGGTGTGGGAACAGCTCCCCAAGGAAACAACCTGCTGTTCTCACTGACACATTCTTTCTAAACCATGCCCCCCAAGTTCCATGTTTTACCTTCTCTCCGATGCCAAGTAGAAGTGAGGACCTAGAGGATGAGAGAGGATGGGCACCCTGAGCACAGCCTCCGCCCACCAAGTGACCCCCTTTTGCTCCATCCTGCCCTCTGGAATGCACAGCCTCAAGCACAGAAAGATAAATGGCAGCCAGATCCAGGCAGTAGAATCATGGCGTTGGCATCGTGTGTTTTACTGTATTTCTTCAAATCCTTGCTTTCGAAGAAAGTTCACATAGTTTGAACGTCAGATTACCTTGTTTCATTCTATAACATTTTGTGTTGCCGCTCAGTGCTTTGATGTTTTGCCCACGTGACCGTCTGTGATGCTCTTATTTGTTAAAATAATTGAAGATTAAAGAAGCAAGCAGAGCCGGGGATATAGCTCAGCGGCACAAGTGCCTACCTAGCAAATGCAAGGTTCTGAGTTCGATTCCCAGCACCAAAAAAAAGAAGTAAGCAGATCAAGAACAAGGGCATACAATGATGACGGACTGAGCACGCCCCTCTAAAACCTCTTCTTCTATGCACAGCTTATGAAATGGCAAACCCAGAGGTACAGAATATAGGTGGGTATGGAAAAGGAAAAGGTGGCTTCCTAAATGCTACTGGGGAACAAGGGGAAGACCCTGTCTTTGCTCAGTGCTAACCTCCCTCCAGAGGAAGTAGAGGCCTGGTCCTTGTTCAGCTGTGGCAGGCCCCTGACCCCATTTCACCATGACCTCCAGTAGCGCTCAGTATTTCAGAGTGATGCATTACATTTAGCTGACTGCATACAGTATATTTCCAGGCTGTTTTGTGAAGTTTGGAGGGACTTCCTTTGTGAAACTTACCTGCCATATCTTCCACCTTCCAAAATCCCAAGTCTTTTCCTCTTACTTACTGATAAATGTGTCTAATAATAGTATCGTTAGAAATAGAAGTCTAAGGAAGTCCAGTCCTAACCATGTTGGCCATATGTTAATTTTGTTTAATTTACTCATTTTTCCTGTGTGGAGTCTGATTTTTTGAAACGCTGTCTAATAGTTGTGCTTCTGTGCCTGCTGTCACTTTTTCCTTTGGTAATAAGAGCTGCTATGGAATACTGCGGACCTGTTCAACAGACTTAGCATTGTTGCACATGCTTTACGTATATTTTATTCCTGATTCTTACCTTATAGGCAGAAATGGAGGCTGAAAGAGTTAGACTTCGTCCCCAAGCTCACACAGGTAGTAAGCAGCACGGTCAGGGCTCCACTCCATGCCCAGCTGAGTGAGAAGTTTATGTTCCTATTCTATGCGCTTAGGAATCCAATCGAGATATGTCAAATATTTCAAATGAAGATATATTTCTGAGTTATTTAAAATATGTACCAAGTATTTAGCACTTTCATTTATCTCTTGAATCCGATGAAAGAAAAATACACATACACTAAAAATACAAATGAAGGGTACCCATCAACCCCTGGAAATTCTTTATTATTCACAGTCTCTAAAAAAAAAACCATGTTTTGGATTACAGCCTAGCTGTCAGAATGTAATTTGTCAGCACAGAACGAGCTTACCAGGATAAAAAGAACACACTAATCATTTTTTTGAAAAAAAAAACTAAGTCCCAATTTCCCATTTACACAGAGAAATCCAGAGGTTTCCGCGGTAACCAGAAAACATTTACAAAACAAAGTCTCAATCCATCAGACACAAAGTGGAGGGCCCTTTCCTTTCTTGTTCTTTCCTCCTAGCCAGGATTTTAAGGAAAAGTTATTAAGAGTATCCTCATCCTCTTCTTATTTATTCAGAACTCTTGAATAATTTCTGCAATTTTACCAATGTTTTGAATAAAACCTGACTATGTCCTTAGGGTACTTTTTTTGAGCTGAATTGCCAGGCCAAAGCGAATAAATATTACAAAAGCTGAACTGTGTATGACCCAGCCTCCAGTAGCCCACCAGTAGCCAGTATGACTTGATATTTTTGTGTCTTATAGTTGAAATATTTACACCAATTAATCAAATCTAACTGCAGACATTCTGGTGTTTTGTTATGTTTTGTCTTGCGGTACATGGGATTGAAGCCAGGGCCTTCACACTGAGTTACATCCTCAGTCCTTTCAGTGTTTCTTCCAAGTTTGAGACAGGGTCTCACTAAGTTGTTAAATTAACCAGGCTGGGCTCTACTTTGTGATCCTCCTGCCTCAGCCTCCCCAGAGTGCTGGATAATAAATGCGATATTCTGCATGTGGTTGGCAGCCCTTGAGCTAGGACTATTTGCCTTATCCCTACCTTGAAGGCTCAGCCCCTCACGGGATCTATAGCTCTCTGCCCAAGTGTAGTCCCAGGATAACCCGCATTAACATACCCCGGGGTGGTGGTCCTTGGATCCTATTTCTGGGATGGATTCAGAACCTGCAGTGGAGCCTAGAAATGTGCATCAACCACAGCAGATTGGGCTTTGCCATTAAGAAAGCTGGTGAGATCTAGTCCCAGAGAATTACGTGAGCAGGCCTATGTTCCACACTCATCAGTACCACAAAATTTGAAAGGAAAAGAGCAAAGATAATCCAATTTTATTTTGCATTTTTGATTACCAAATTCTTGGTTATCTTTATCAGTCATCTGCGTGTCTGTTTCCGTTCGTGTTCTGTTTTTCTCTTGGAGTGTTGGGATAGGTTTCGTTGATTCGTAGAGTCCATGAGGGCTAGAGCTTGGTCTTGTACACCACACATCCACCACACCTATAGACAACTGGACCGGTTCTTCCATAAGTAATTATTGAATGAATCAACAACAAAGACAACTTCTTGTCATATATTTAGCACTTACTTTTTCCTTTTATAGATTTTCTTTAAAAAAAAAAAAAAAAGCCAAACAATCCTTTTGTTTTGTTTTCTGTTTCTGCTATCACGCTTAGAAAGTCAAGAGCTTCACAGATGAATAATTCTAACTATTACAGAGTGTGCTGCTGTGCATTGAAATCTGATGCCTGCCCGTCTGCCCATTGTTCCCATTTGGGGCTGGGACACAGAGAAGGCTTCTCATCATCCCGTTGGAACAGCTCTTTCATGTTATTATTTATTGCATTCATTGTAAATTAACAAATTATTGCTCTGTGTACTTATAGAGTCTGGAATAATGTGATGGGTCATAAATGCAGTGAGGACAGCTGATTAAGCTAATTAACCACTGGCGTCTCAGATTCTAAACTTTGTGTTGTGTTGTGTTGTGTTGTCTTGTGGTGAGGAGTGGATTTCAGAGAGTTGTGGAGCACAGGGATTTCACCTGAAACTTGAAGGGAAGCCGTGCTAAATTAACGTAATCAGGGCTCCTATCGAATCCTCCCTCTAGAAATAGCCGCCATTGATTAAAAAGATGCCATGTAAGTGTTTCTTTTAAGGAGTCATAATTCCAGTCAAAGGGAATCGTTAGACTGGCGTGGGACTTTCTGAAGCAGCACTTTGGAAAACAGAGGGGTATCTGGGCTTCTTTCTACCCAGGCGTCACAGTGGTGTCTGCTATGGCTGAATTGTGCCAACCCCTGTAGCAAATCCACATGTTAAAGTCCTAAGTCCCAGAACTTCAGGTTGCTGGCCTTGTTGGCTCGTGGTCTTCGGGGAGGTGTCCAAGTTAGAACGAGGTCATTAGGGTAGACCCAAAAGCCTGGGCAACTGTGGAGACAGACACACACTGCAGGACACGTCGTGTGAACCTGAAGGTGGTGGCCTGCAAGCCCAGGAGAGCGGCGTGGAGCGGATCCTCTCCCACAGCCGGCAGGTGGAGCCAACCCCGCCAGCCCCTTGCTTTCAGACTTCCAGCCTTCGGAACTGCGAGGTAATAAATCTCTGTTGTGGGCGCCGCCGGTCTGTGGGGACTGTGTGTCAGCCTTCCCAGCAAACAAATGCAGGGTCCGAATGAGCCATGTATGATTGTTCAGGTGGTCCTTGGAGTAGCTTTTGAGCATGATGGATTCCGGGGCAGGAACATGCTGTATCCACCCTACAACATTTGCTAGGAAACTGCCCAAAGGGAACTGTGGTGAACCCTGTGCTGACACTGGGAGAGTCCACGGTCTCCTCGGTAGGTGGCTTCCTTGCTTCCCATGTGACCCTTCCCGAGTGCCATCGAGGGAGTCCCCACATCAGTGATTTCTTCACCACACCACCG